ACGAAAACTTGAAATCAGGCGGAATTCCAGTGTTTTTGCCCTTAAATACCAAAAAATGAGAAATGATAATGGCGAGGCGGTGTCTATTATCCCTTAGGTCATTTTTGAAGGGCCGTCAAAAGTTTATGAGATCCGGATCCGGTCGCTTGGACCCGTGCATATGGTGTGGGCTGTAGCACACGAAAATCAGGAAAACGGGTAGAATTCCAATTTAATGGACTTAAATCACCAAACCACGAGGATCAGTCATGGCGAGGCACTGACTATTCTTCCTTAGGTCATTTTTTATGGTCCGGCGAAAATTTAGGCGTTTCGGGTCCGTTTGCCCGGACCCATGCAGATGGCGTGGGCATAACACATTAAAATTTGGGAATCATGCGGAATTCTAATTTTATGACCCTAAAATGCCAAAAATGAGGATTGGTCATGACGAAACAATGACTATTCTTCCTTAGATCATATTTGATAGGCCGGCAAAATTTTAGGTGATCTAGGTCTGGTTGCCCAAATCCATGCTGATTGTGTGGGCTATAGCACATATAAAATTGGGAATCAGGCAGAATTCCAGTTATATGGCCCTAAAACGTCAAAAAGGAGGAACGGTCATGGCGAGGCGATGACTATTATTCTTTAGGTTGTTTTTAATGAGGGGGCGAAATTTTAGGCTATCTGGGTCCGGTCGCCCCGACCCATGCAGAGGGCTTGGGCTATAGCGTTTGAAAATTTGGGAATCGGGCGAAATTCAAGTTTATGGCCCTAAAACCCAAGAAATAAGGAACGGTTATGGCGAGATGATGACTATTATTTCTTAGATAGTTTTTGATCGGCGGGTAAAATATTATGCTATCTGGGTCCGGGCAACACATGTCGTGGGCTATATCATTTGAAAATATGGGAATCGGCGAAATTCTATTTTATGGCCCTAAAACGCCAAGAAACGAGTAACGGACATGGAGAGGCGATGATTATTTTTCCTTAGGTCATTTTTAATGGGCCGACAAAACTTTAGGTGGTCCGGGTCTGGTCGACCAAACCCATGCAGATGGCATGGGCTATAGCATATGAAAATTTGAGAATCGGACGAAATTCTAGTTTTATGGCTCTAAATGCCAAAAAAAAAAGAAAAAACGGTGATGGTGTAGGCTATAGCACAAGAAAATCTGGGAATCAAACGGAATTCTTATTTTATAGCCCTAAAAAGTCAAAAATGAGGAACGGTTGGACCGACAAAATTTTAAAGCGATCCGGGTCTGATTCCCCGGATCCATGCAGATGTCATGGACTATAGCACATGAAAATCTAGGAATCAGGCGGAATTTTAGTTTTATGGCCCTTAAATACCAAAAACGAGGATCAGTCATGGCGAGACGATGATTATTCTTTCTGGGGTCCTTTTTCATAGGCTGGCAAAATATTAGGAGATCAGGGTCTATTCGCCTGGAGCAATGCAGATGGCGTGGGCCATAACACACGAAAATCTGAGAATTAGACGGAATTTCAGTTTTTTGGCCCCTAAAGTTCCAAAGAATGAGAAACGATCATGGCGAAGCAATGACTATTGTTACTTAGGTTGTTTTTTATGGGGCGACAAAACTTTAGGCAATTCAGGTCCGGTCACCCTGGTGCATGCAGATGGTGTGGGCTATACCACATGAAAATCTAGTAATCGGACGAAATTTCAGTTTTATGGACCTAAAACGCCGAAAAATGAGGAATGGTCATGGCGAAGCGATGTTTATTGTTCCTTAAGTCATTTTGAATAAGCCAATAAAATTTAGGCGATTTGGGTCCAGTAGCCCGTATGCATCTACAGATGACGTGGGCTATAGCACATGAAAATTTCGAAATTCCAGTTTTATGGCCCTAAAATGCTAAATAATGAGGAATGGTCACGACGAATCGTTGACTATTATTCCTTAGATCATTTTAATGGGTTTTAATGGGATAGTTAATTTTAGGAGATTCGGGTCTGATTACTTAGATGCATGCATATGACATGGGAAACATACAGAAATTAGAGAATGGGGCGGAATTCTAGTTTTATGACCCTAAAATGCCAAAAAATGAGGAACAGTCATGGCGAAACGATGAATATTATTCCTTAGGTCATTTTTGATGGGCCAACAAATTTTAGCCGATTCGAGTCTGGTCGTCTGGATGCATGCAGATGGTGTGGGCTATTACACACAAACATCTAAGAAACGGGGGAAATTTTAGTTGTATGGCCCTAAAACGCCAAAAAACAAAGAACGGTCATGGCGATGCGATGACTATTGTTCCTTAGGCGGGTTTTTATGGGCCAAAATTTTTTTAGGCGAATTGGGTTCGGTCGCCCGGATGCAGCAAATGGCGTGGACATAGCATATGAAAATCTGGAAATAGGGCAGAATTTCAGTTTTATGTCCTTAAGATGCCAAAAAAAAAAGGAACGATCATGGAGAAGCGATGACTATTGTTCCTTAAGTCATTTTAATGGGCCGGAATAATTTTAGGCGATTTGGGCTCGACCGCCCGGATGCATGCGCACACGAAAATCTGAGAATCGAGCAAAATTTCAATTTTACGGCCCTAAAACGCGAAAAACGAGGAGCTATCATGGCGAAGCAATGACTAATATTCCTTAGGTCGTTTTTGATGGGCTGGCAAAATTTTAGGCGATTCGTGCCCAGTCGCTCGGATGCATACAGATGATGTGGGCTATAGCACATGAAAATCTAGGAATCCAGTGGAATTCCAATTTTATGGCAATGAAATGCAAAATACCGAGGAGCGGTCATGGCGAAGTGATGACTGTTGTTCCTTAGGTCGTTTTTTATAGGCAGACAAAATTGTAGGCGATTCGGGTCCGGTTGCCCAGATGTATGCAGATGGCATTGGTTATAGCACACGAAAACTGGGAATCGGGCAAAATTCCAGTTTTATGGCCCTAAAACACCAAAAAATAAGGAACGGTCATGGCGAAGTGATGACTATTGTTCCTTACGTTTTTTATGGTCCGACAAAGTTTTAGGCGATTCGGGTTCGATCGCTTGGATGCATGTAGATGGCATGGGAACAAGGCAGAATTTCAGTTTTATGGCTCTAAAACACCAAAAAAATGAGGAATGGTCATGGCGATGCGATAATTATTGTTTATTAGATCATTTTTCATGGGCCCGTAAAATTTTAGGAGATTCGAAGTCGGTCGCCCGAATTCATTCAGATGGCCAAGACTATATATAGCACACGAAAATCTGAGAATCGTCCTGAATTCCTATACTAATGAGTCCGTCAAAAAAATTACAAAATCAGTAGGCCTTTCCTATGGACCTACGAAATTTCAGGTCAATTGGAGTTGATCAAAAAACTTCTATAAACCTAAGAAATTTCAAGTCGTTTCGGGTACATTTTTGGTCCACCGCGATAGCTTGCTATCGGGACTTTCTAGTGTCGCCTTGGCGTTGCACTATTACCTTGGCTAGGCGCACCCTACCAAATGTAATTCAAAGATTTTTTTGCCCAAATATAAGTACATGCAATGAATGCTGTACTCATGCCTTTCTATGAGCATGCAAAATTTCCTTTCTTCATTGTTTCTCTTAAATAGTTACCTTAGTATAAGAAGCAGATACTAAATTTAATCGATAAGCAAGAAATGTGCTCTGCTGAGAAATGGTATAAAAAATAAAAACTGAGTTGCACTATATATATATATATATATATATGAAAGAGTATAAACTAATGGTGCATTTGGCAAATCAAATACCATGATCGAATAATCAAACGTTCTGATTAGCTTATAATACAAATAATAATTGAAAATTTTGTGATACATTCATGAGACAAGTTCCATTAACGTGGAATTCAAGTTGAGTAGACCTTGTTA